TTCACAGACACATGCAGCTCTGAATACTGCTTATTACTCGGCATCTGCTCCAGTACCGATAAGGCCTGAAAAAAGAGAGCAGTCATTCAAGGTACAGCACGATTTACCAGAAATTTGTTTGTACTATTAAATTATCATCAAATATCTAAAACATATCCACATCTAACCATCTGTTTTTTCGAAATTTCAATTCAATTTTTCAAATTCAACATAGAAAAATTCCTAAATTCACCTAAAAAACAGAAAAGTTTACCTGTTGGGCTTTAGCTGAGAGCTGCAGCTCGGTGCCTGGATGAAGACGCAGCTGATTCTCTGAGGGCACCTGGACCAGCAAAAATGTTGACATGCTGCGCGCCACAACCCGAAAACTGAAACACAGGAAGAACAGAAAATGTGAGGCATGCAATTCACACAATTTACTTCCGATCTGGACATCAAACCAAAACGATAATTTCAGTAGTTTTTCAACAACTCTCAATCTTCTCTCACCTGCTAGAAAGTGGGGATTTCCTCCCGAGGCCAATGGCTCCCAAGATGCCTGAGTTCAGTCTTTCCTCACCGAGCTGGGCTAGACGGTTCTGGAACGCCATTAAGGTGAGAATCAGAGTGTCAAGTGCACTGGTGTCTTCTTGATCCACCTGGATCTGCACAAGCTCCAAGAATTTATGCCACCATAAAAACAGCTTTGCCTCATCAGCTGGACCACTGCAGGAACAGACGACACACGCACACAAGAAGCACTAAAAGTAAAAGGGGAATTCTTTATTAACTCTGCAATCCTATACTACTTCCAGTCAGGGTTTCTGTGTGTGTCCTTCAACATATGAAAGAGCACACTATATGTGATAAAGTGTATATTACCTAGGAAAGACCTGACTGATCCATGTGTTGAGCAGCACCAAGGTCTTCTTCTCATTCAGGAGGGTTTGCTCCAGGTTCAGCCTCTGGAGGATGTAGACGTACAGCGTGAGATAACTGCCCAGGTTCAGGCTTTCCTGAATGAAGTCCTCAACAGTCAGTTCAGGAACCTGAAGAGAGACCAGGATGGGCCCCCAACCAGAGTATTGATCAGCACATCCACCTGAAAAAACACACAAGATATTGCAAGAAGTTGTGGATATTTAAGACTTAATATTTATAAGATGCTAAAACTTATTGTACTCTATAATGGTTCCATGCAAATGTTTTGATTCAGCCCAGATGTTTGCTTTTATGATCCTAACAATGTGATTAGAGAGAGGAATAATTCCGAAAGGCTTACGCAGACAGACGGTTTCAAATCTGTGACTAAGCCCAGAACAAGTATGAGCTATTATTACCATCAGTGAAGTAGGAGAGAATACAGGCCTCAGTGGTGCGTGTCATATGACGCACTGAGGCCAGGCATCTGCACGCAGCGGTTAGTAGGGGGAGAACCAAAGGCCCCCGAGCTCGCTTTTCCACCCAGGAGTGGAGTTTAGTCCCGAGTCCCTCTGCTGTAGATATGCCAGCTTCATTCAGCAGAGTCAGCATCTCAGCAAACAGACTGCATGTGGCCATGTGCCGCTGCTGGAGGTCTGTCTCTGAACGTGAGGATGAGAAACATTAAGGTCAGTTCATTCAACATAAAGAGAGATATTGTTACTGCCTGTTTGTTGTGTTAAGATGCTGATTAGACATTGATGTGTTAAAAAACTTTTCTGTAAATAAATACTTAACTGAAACAACAGTAGTAGTTAAATGTCTAGTAACTAGCGGTTAATAATGTATTACCACTCAAAAGTTTAGGGTTGGTAACATGGATGCATTAAATCAAAAGTGACATTTATAATGTTACAAAAGATTTCTATTTCAAATGATTGCTGTTCTGCTGGTCACAATGTTAGTATAATTTCTGAAGGATCATTTAGCCCTGAAGTCTGGAGCAATGGCTGCTGAAAATTCAGCTTTACCATCACAGGAATAAATTAAAACAATTAATTATATATTAAAATTGAAAACAGTTATTTTAAATTGTAGTAACATTACACAATATTAGGCCTCTTTCAAAAACATTAAAAATCTTGAATGAATGAATGCATGCATGAATGAATAAATAAATATAATTAGAAACTAAATTTGTATTTGGTTTAAAAACAGATTAAAATCAGATTCAGTTGGAGAATGGATAGTAAATAGATACGTTCCTCATCTGCTCCTGCATCTAATTCAGAAATTACTGCTCTGATCTATGCACATACAGTATATATGTTAAATATATAAATAAATATTTAGAATTCCCTAATACTCCGAAATACTCAAGGATGCAAATCAGTATATGGTATTTTAAATGTTTTTGGGAATAGATGCATATGTACCATCATACATTAATGTGCCATGGTTTTTGAATCTGTATCCTCACTCATTTTGTTTTCTTTCCCCACTCTTGGCATTGTGCTGATGCCTTTGTCATTACTATTGCAACCAGTCTACTGGGTACTAACTGTACAAACTGCTATGATTTTGTCACATTCTAAATGACAATACAAACAGTCAATCCGAAAGATTTGTTCTAAAAAACAAACCGGAACAGTGTGCAGTGTGAACGTAAGTGCTTTCATTCTTATAAAATCCAGTGATACACAGAACTACAAATTATGCTTATGTAATATTCTTGAAGGGCCTGCTGAGGGACATGACAAGAAAATGAATGTGAAAGAGAAATTAAACATTCTCCTCACCAGGAGGGTTGAAAATGACAATGTACTCCAGTAATTTCTCCATTTCTGTCTCCAGAGATGCCAGACTGATGTTCCCATTTTGATCCAGAGAGGTCAGGAACTGCACCGTTAGGTGAAGGAAGGCTTGGCACTTTAAAGTCATGTCCTAACAGTCACAAAACACAGAACAGATATAAATCATGATGCTGTAAAATGTAGTTTGTTAATTTGCAGATTACTTGACAATCTAACCTTGTGATGTAACATTTGTGTGGTCGGCCCAAATCCAGCAGCCATTCTGAGCAATCTGATGACATGTTGTGAAGAAGTATCATGACTGAGAACAAGGGATGCTGGGTAATGTGTGCTGACGTAGCGTGTAACATTTTGATAAGAAGGAAAATCTACTAGGTGCCAAGGCAGAGAAGCTGATTGGTCCAGGAGACTGAGGACAGAAGATTCCTGTAGAAGTAAATCAGGGTAGATTAACCTTTAATAGGCACCCTTGAAGATGGTTAAGGTAAACAGATGACCACTAACAGGTTTGCTGAGATCCTCTTTGGCCAGAAACACCATCAGATAGAGGACAGAGACCACCATCGTCTGAGCTGAGGGGCTCAGCTGGGGGCTGAGAGAGTCACTCAGTACACTGACCCAGTTCACCTCACACAGCAGCTCTCCCATAAACAGGAAACAACTCTTTGGGCTTCCCCTCTCCACCTGAACAGCATGAAATTCAATTAATTTACTGACAACCATCTATTAAAGTATCAGTATTTTCTTATAGTTAGTACAAGAAAGACTGTTTAAATCTTAGGATTAAAACCCATTATCTTCGTCACCAAATTATTTGTCAGACTACATTGGAAGTGACTAAATGTATGTACACTACCATTCAAAAGTCTGGTGTTGGTAAGATGTTTTTTTTTTTTTTTTGAAAAAGACATGATGTTACAAAAATTTCTATTACACAAAATGCTGAAGAAAAAAAATCACTATTTTCACAAAAAATATTAAGCAGTAAAACTGTTTTCAACGTTTATAATAATAAGATATCTCTGTTTCTTTAGCACCAAATATGCATATTAGAATGATTTTTGAAGGATCATGTGACACTGAAGACTAAAGTAATGGCTGCCCGAAAATTCAGCTTTGCCATCAAACGAATAAATAGCATTTTAAAATCAAATAAAATATAAATTTATTTTACCAACCTCAAATGCCTGAATGGTGGTGTACATAGGTCTAGATGGTTTTGAAACACTATAGAGATCCTCAACCAAATACAAGTAATATATGCGATCTAAGAGTACTGTAAGTCTCTCACATTGAAAAACTGGTTCATGAGTGTCTGATCTGGATGCAGGTCCTTCCATGGCAAACGGCTGTACTCAGTGTGGTACGTGTACAGCAGGTACTCTGGCATCTTGGGAGAGGTGCAGGTCTCACAGTAATGCATGAGATGAAACCACAGAGCTCCTCTTTGTCCTGGCAACAAGCAATCTGCACCAAAAACATTATGGATTCAAAATTACATACTGATCAAATGGATTTTGAACTGAATATGTATTTAAACAGCTGAAAAAAATGGTTGAATGAATCATGACATTTGTGTGTTGTCCTGTTCTCCAAGGATGTTCACCTTTGAATTTCTCATGCATAGTCTCCATCAAGCGTGCATATAAGCTCACTAAGCTCGCTGCAGCTGCGGCATCTGATTCAAGCCAGGGAGAACAGTGAGGATGACTGTGACATACACAAGAGAGTTGTTACTCATCACTTCTGTCATCAGTGTTATAATAACCAAACCACATCAAAGCATACCTAGTGTTGTCAGTGTCAAGGACCAGAATCCACGGTTCAAACAGTTTGGCCATTTTTGCATGCAGGTTCTCAAGAGCTACATCGAGTAGAATTTAACATGAATTAATTTAATTATACAAATAGTTGCTATGCAGATATATACACTACTGTTCAAAAGTTTGGAGTCTTAAGATTTTTTTTTTTTTTTTTTTTTCAAATAAGTCTCTTATGCTTACCAAAGCTGCATTTATTTGATAAAAAAAACTAAAAACAGTAATATTGTGAAAAAGTTTTAATATATTTTAAAATGTCATTTATTCCTGTGATGAATTTCAGCAGTTATTCAGCAGTATATTACTCCATAGTATTTGCTGCTTAAGAAACATTTATTTCTATTTCAGTGTTGAAAACAGTTGTGCTGCTAAATATTTTTGTGGAAACTATGATTAATATTTGTTTCAGTATTTTTTGATGCATAGAAAGTATGCAGTAGAACAGCATTTAATTCAATCATTTTTTTTAACATTATAAATGTCTTTACTGTCACTTTTTTTTTTTTTTTAAATGAAGTTTTTATTGGTTTTCTTTATACATAACAAAACATACCAGTACAAAAATAAATAAATAAATACACTGTATACAAAACAAAACAAACAAAAGTAATTATCATAAATAATAATAATAATAATGATAGAAATGACACTTAAATGCACAACTGGGTAATCAAGTCACACTTCAAAGGATGACTGATACTAGATCCATGCCTGAAGTAACAATCTGAATAAAATTCTCCCACATGTCAACATCCATGTGATTTCCATTCACTTTAGCTAACATTTTTTCATATGATACATTCTCGATCATAGATTCAATCCACATTTTAAGTGAAGGACATTGAATATCTTTCCAAAATCTAAGCATCAGTCGTACTGCCGTGATTACACCGACAGTAACAAGGGAAAACTCGTTATTTTTAATCTTTGGAATCTCCGATTTATCTCCTAAAAGACAAATCCTTGATGAAAATGGAAGGTTTACTGTCACTTTTGATCAATTTATTGAATAAAAGTAATAATAATTTCATTCATTCATTAAAAAAAAAAACTTTTGAATGGTACTGTACATTAGGCACTGACTGAGACACTCTCGTCTAAAAGTGTTTTTCTTACCATGATATCCTCCAGCTTCATGTCCAGAAGGTCTGCTCCCTGCACGTATGCTTTCCAGTCCTCCGATTCCTCGCCGTCCCCCATATTGTCCAAAATCAACTCAAAGAAGATGACTTTCTCAGAAACCGCACTGAATGTATTATCAAAACAGAACATGTAGTCTCCCTCTTCTGTTTCCACTCTGACATAAAAAAGTCCCATAGAAAAAAACGAAAGGTCAAAAACGGTTACTCGGGAAGTAATTAGCTCAGTGTGTACGAATAAACTGATTGTGGGTGAAACTTACGCATGAACTCCATCAGATTTTCTGTAGTCAGTGGCTATAACGTGACCGCTGGGCGACTGTAAGTAGAAGTCCACATCTAGACTCGCTCCATCCAGAACCTGCACAAAGACACATAGATTTCCATTAATGATGAGTCAACAGAAGGACCTGCTGATTCTGCCCTCACAGCTTGAAGCTTTGAGCTTACTGTGGGCATGAATCAAAGTCCTTTTGGTACTTTTCCTTCTCCCAAAATGACCTTTAGCTCCACTGTGTCACTTCTCCAACTGCAGGATTGTGTCGCAACTTCAAGTTTAATTTTCATAATGCAGCATACTGTATTGCATTAGATCATGCTTGAAATAGAATTATTGCAGTTTGTTTTGCAACCAGCTAATTGGCAAAAATTGGGGCTAATTATGAAGAAAACCCTTTTTACAAAAATAAAAACAAGAATAATGTAACAATTAAATGTTATCTAATGTTTTACCTATATTTAACTACATTGTTCTTTGCTGTGCAGAAAAAAGTATAGTCACTCACTTTCACTTCAAATGTTCTCATAAATAAAAAAAAATTATTTCATATTTTTCATGAATTCATACTGCTTACTTTAAACATTAACAAATGCACTTCACACGATTTATACATCTTTGAATTAAAGTTACCTTTATGGTTTTGTGGTATTTTAAGATTACACCGACAGTAACAAGGGAAAACTCGTTATTTTTAATCTTTGGAATCTCCGATTTATCTCCTAAAAGACAAATCCTTGATGAAAATGGAAGGTTTACTGTCACTTTTGATCAATTTATTGAATAAAAGTAATAATAATTTCATTCATTCATTAAAAAAAAAAACTTTTGAATGGTACTGTACATTAGGCACTGACTGAGACACTCTCGTCTAAAAGTGTTTTTCTTACCATGATATCCTCCAGCTTCATGTCCAGAAGGTCTGCTCCCTGCACGTATGCTTTCCAGTCCTCCGATTCCTCGCCGTCCCCCATATTGTCCAAAATCAACTCAAAGAAGATGACTTTCTCAGAAACCGCACTGAATGTATTATCAAAACAGAACATGTAGTCTCCCTCTTCTGTTTCCACTCTGACATAAAAAAGTCCCATAGAAAAAAACGAAAGGTCAAAAACGGTTACTCGGGAAGTAATTAGCTCAGTGTGTACGAATAAACTGATTGTGGGTGAAACTTACGCATGAACTCCATCAGATTTTCTGTAGTCAGTGGCTATAACGTGACCGCTGGGCGACTGTAAGTAGAAGTCCACATCTAGACTCGCTCCATCCAGAACCTGCACAAAGACACATAGATTTCCATTAATGATGAGTCAACAGAAGGATCTGCTGATTCTGTTTGAGCTTACTATGGGCACGTTACAGAATCAATACGCAAGTCTACAGAATCACAGTCCATTTCGGTACTTTTCCTTCTCCAAAAGTGACCTTTAGCTCCATTGTGTCACTTCTCCAACTTCTGTGTCACAATTTCAAGTCTAATTTTCATTATGCAGCAAACTCTATTGCATTAGATCATGTTTGAAAGAGAATCATTGCTGTTTGTTTTGCAACCAGCCAATTGGCAAAAAATGGCTAATTATGAAGAAAAAAATTATTTGACATTTCTCTCTCTCTCTCTCTCACACACACACACACACACACCTCATATCAACACTTTATTGATACCACAATACGTATGTAGGCAGTATCCAACAAAATGAAGAAGTTATATCGTCTTTCAATACACTCAATATCACCAGCATACAGGCTGAATCAGAGTGAAATCTCCAGATGTAAGTTACCTGGTACTCGATCTCCAGTGAAGCGTCTTTCTTCATAGTCTGGAAGAAGCACTCTTTGCGTCCCGCGGGTAGAGTGAAGGTGAAGTCACTGTCCAGAGACTGAGAGAAAGCGCTGATCGCAGACACACACAACGACAAACACGCCACACACACTCTCAACACCTCCATACTCCACCACATGCTACTACACTTCCACAACGTTATCAACAACCGATGAAAGTTGTGCTTCTGTAAACTTCAGCAGCTGCTCAGGACAGCTCACCAAACGAGTTGGGAATGCTGTGACTTGAGGACCCCGCCTCACAAAAGTAGAAATATTATTAATCATTTCTAAATCTGCCAGCACAGGTACTTCCTCTTTTTATAAGAAATTAATAAAAATTGTATAAAATTAGGGAACACGTGTTTTACGCGAATGTATTATTTATATACAAGTAAAACGTCCACTGGCATATAACGCGAGCATTATGGGAAATGTAGTATTTTCTGCAGAATGTAGTTCTGCGCTGCATAGTGCTTTGCTTTACAGAAGTGATGAGGAAGTCGGACTTATTTCTGCGAATCGTTTCTTTCCCAAGAACCGGTTCTTTTCTCATTTTTTTATTCAGAGAATAATCATTTTTCTTATGCATAATAATAACACAATAATTTATATTCCCAGGGGCGATATTAAATATGCAAATAAATTCAAAAACAGGTAATATAAACAATGGGTTTTTAATATGTTATATATAAAATGTTACAATCGTTTTTTTTTTTACTATGCCACAGAAGTTGACCAAATGATCAAGTGCATCAATTCAGCTTTGAGGTGACGAAAGTTTGCACCAAAAAAATAAAATAAATAAATAAATAAACAAGATGGAATGGTAAAATATACATTTTAGAGACAGCAACCACCAAAATGTGGTGAGACTCACATGTATATATATATATATATATATATATATGTGTGTGTGTGTGTGTGTGCATTTTTCCTTTAATCCTAAAATAAAGTTATTAAAAATAAAGTTTATATATATTTTTTTAACAAAAAAAGAGTTAGGCTACTAATTTAACTGTTTAACGGATATTGAAGTGTTTATAAAGTCGAAGACCTGCCTATTAGAGATCATTCTCATGTAGATAGATGACTGTCATATTTTTACCCCCACAAGAATTAAACATGAAAGGGGTTACATATAACAAAGTAGCTCAATTATTCTCCCACATGAATGTTCTAGCAATATTTCAGATATCTTATCTTTAAGGCGACGCGTCTGATGACAAAACTTCCAACTCATCCAGACCCCGAGGAGTGGGCGGGGTTAAAGTAATACCAATTCCTATTGGCTGAGGCCGGGGCAGCCGGAGCGGTGAGCGCTGGCAGCAGAGCAGCAGCAGTATAAGCGGACGGGAGCCAGTCAGGCAGCCAGCGCTTCCCAACCCAACGGGGGGTTTAAAACAGAAACTACTAGCCCAACTGTTTGTTCTGTACCGCGAAACACACCCCCTTACCTTAATACAGTTGTAAACAATTAGCATTATTAACTAGTCTTGGCCTCTGTCGTCAGTATTAGAGGTGAATAGATAAAAAAGCGAGGATGTTGGTCCCCGCGGGAAGATAATGAAGAAGCTGCGCGTGTTGTTGCTGTGCGCCGTTTTAGTTCTCCTGTGCTGGTGAGTCAAATATTTTGTTGATTTGAAATACTATTATAATGTATCTACCTGTCAAGCTCCGCCATAAAAACACTAATACTTTGACAACGACATCATTTACCACTGTATTTCTAATGATAGCTTCATGCTAGATGCTAACGTTAGTTTAGTAGCCTCAGAGGTGGTATGCATTTTTAAGCTTTGTGTCAAAAGACGTCAAAAAATACTGTTTTATATCATTTATTATTGTGGAGTTGCTTGCATCTTGTAAAGTAATGTGGTGACAGCCTGTTGAAAGTAGCAGCTGTCCACTATGAATGTAAATTGTCGATAGAGGGTACACGATGTAGAGAAAACAGACAGCCCACCATGCATTATTAGGCTTCCCACTTCTGTATGTGAGCATTTATTAATTTCAGTAGTAATTTATGTATGCTTTTCATTTTTTAAGGCTTTGTTGAACTGCTAACAATTGGAATCAGCTGTTATAGTTTAATTTTGTAGCAGCACTTTTTTAATGGCCATTATCAGGAATTATGGTCAGTTTTTGTTTTTCAAGCTTAGTGTGTAGGTAAAGCCTAGTAACTCTTTCAGACCATGAATCGCTTGGACTGCATTTATCTAAAAGTAACAGGCTGCTGTCCAGTTGGCCAGACTGCTAGAGCCTAAATTTGCCCTGACCACCGAAGCAAACTCTTACTTTAGTGTATGTTACTTTGAGAAAGTTTAATGCATTCAAATATGTGCATATCTATGATAAACTGCGCTCGCTCTCTGTGCCAGGTTAATGTGGCATCCACCGTGGAGAGGTGGTGGATTAGGGTTGGTCAGATGTTGACTAGGCACACAGGGTGCTGATGCAGGTCACAGTACCTGGTGAGACAAGAACACAATTACACACTGTGCCTGCCGCCGGACATCCTATCAGATTGATGATTTGAATAACGGGCTGATATATGCGAACTCACTGCTATTTTCATAATGACTGATTACAACAGCTTGTATTACTGTGCTTTTGCACAGGCAGAAAGCCGTTCACTTTTGGTTCCAGCAGTGTAACCTTGTAAGTGAAGGTAAATGGAAAAAATGTGATTTTTAAAATTGTGAGAATGTCTTCATACCTAATGCCAGTATCAAAAAAATAAATAAAAAAATGGCGAGTTGCATAAGAATTGGATCACATATGCACAAAACTCACAGCTCATAAATACCTGTTGTTATTTGGCACACTTTGCTAGCTTTTATTACTTCATTATGTTTTTTTTATCATGTTTGCATGGCTTTCAGAAAAGAGCAACCTGGTACGAATCTAAAATAAATGTAAAACAACACGTAAACATTTTATTTATTTAGTGAAAAGGAAGCATTACATACCAGAACAATAAGGGTTTCATAACATAATCTAGAAAGTAAAGTAGCTTCAATTACATGAAAGTTTATGTAGTTTTATTTGGAATAACATGCATAGCTGGAGTGTGCACAGGAACAGAGACTTGCATTAAGAAGGTAAAATAAACATGTTTTCTGCTTCAAATATAAAATAGGTCTGGAAGGCCAACCATATATTACTGAAATAAGTTGTCATGTTTTTTTTCTTTATTTTTCCCTACTCTTTATTTTTCCCTACTCTAAATCATACTCGCATTAAAGGATAGACATATTTCGTTTTCTTTATTGAGACAATAAATTTCCAGATTCTGTTCAAGGCACAGAGGGGGCCAAATAGCGGAGAGCCTGCATCTATTGTTGCCACCTTTCAGTATTTGGGGCTTTGCAGAATGGACCTATTTTTTTAGTTGCATAATTACAAAAATAGTCAGAATATTCCTTTTTTTTTTTTTAACCCTAGTTTTAGAAAAGTAGGATAATGTCAGTAACAATTGCTCTGTTTGATATATCAGTTTTTTTTAAAGAAAGCTTACAACACGTGTCTGTAAAAGACAGCTGGGTTGAATACATGTCCAAAGTTCAATTAGATATTCTTTATTCAAACTCCTTGTCATGTGATCTTAAATTTGAATGATCATAAATGCGGTTGTGGCTGGGTGAGCATAATGGAGTCATATTTTTTTTTCACTTGTTGCTTAGCGAATATCTGATCACAAATGCCTGAGTTTTCAGTGGCTGATGATTTTCAGTGTTTGAGTGTTGTTCTGTCATATTTGTCTACAAGAAAAATTTTCAAATCTACCTGTGCTGTTGGCTACTGAATATTAGAAGGTTAAAACTATCCTTACTATAATTCTGCTATAATAATCAAGTCCCAGAGCTGTTTGTGTTGTCCAGGTATGTTTTGTAAAATAATTGCTGGGTGAACTTTTTTTAGAGCATATACCCCCGGTTTCACAGACAAGGCTTAAGCCTAGTCCCCGACTAAAATTTAAGTCTGAGCTGTTGCAACTGAAAGAAACTTGCACTGATTGATCTTGAAATATGTCAGTGCCCTTGTTTTGTCTCAAGATGCACACCAGTAATGTTTTTTCTAAGGCATAATTAAATAAAAATTACTTTAAAATCCAAATTGAACTATGGCCTATTCCTGGCTTAAGCTAAGCTCCGTCTGTGAAACCGGGCCTTAGAGTATTTGGAACATTTTCTAGAATGTCATTTTACTGTAGATTAACACATTAAAATGGTTGTCAAATCTAAAGCACAGACAGACAACACTTACTTTTAAAATGGAACAAAGTGGTGCATAACTGACTGTACTAACAAATACTTATAACAGTAAGTATACTGTTTTAGTGGTTGATCTTGATCTACAGTTTGACTTCAGAAAGTAGACTAGTGAGAGCACTCCTCATGTGTGTCTCCTGTCCTGCTCTTTAGTCTGCTTCTATCTTTATGTTGCCATGATGCTACAATTGTTCTCAATTCGATGAGCAGTGAGGATAAAAAACAAAAAAAAGGGGAAAGAGTTTTGAGTGAATAATGTTAAAATAGTGAGAGAATCACACAGCCTGCAGTTATGGGCAGGACATGGCACTGCTTTGGCACATATCAGACCCACAGCCAGAGGCTCTTCTCCTCTGCTGCTTATTTTTTCTCTCTTCCTTATTCTTTCTTTTCCTCCTCCTGTCCATTTCCTTCTTCCCTACTTATAATAGCTGAGAATGTAGCATACTGCTGTGACATCTTCCTCCACGCCTCCTGCAACAAAACTTACAGGCTCATCATATATATGCTGGCCTTGAATTCTTTGTGAGACATAAACGACTGTCCCCTTTCACAGAACTATTATTAATGCTTTTTAAAAACTTAACACGGTGTCTTTAAACGCTCAACACGCTTGAAAGTTGCATTGCAAAAACCGAAGATGTCCGTGTGAGCTGCAGTGATTTAAAGGGGATGCATTTAAAGACTTAAATAGTTTTTCTTGTTCAGAATGATTAGTTGTACTAATTGTCTTGTTCATTACTAGTCGTGACCCATCCCCAGAGACGGTAAAAAATTTGACCTGCTAAGCATGTCCCACTCTAAACTGCCCATCACCCACCTTGGGTCTTGGGGTGGGCTTCAGGTTGCCTTGGAAACAACACCCCTTGGTCATTGGGTTCATTTTCTCACTTGGCATTGAGACCATACAAAGCATAATTGTGCTTAGGGCTGTGTGGAAATAAAAAAAAAAGAGGTTTTTTTCAATTTATTATGTTTTTGACAACTAAACCGGTGTGAAATGAAGCCATTTTTTCATTGTGATTAAAAATTGTTCATATAATGTTTAGTTGTTAACCTCATCAGCTAAAACAAGCATAAACTAAGCATTTTAGGAAATGTTCTTGGGTTATTGTGAATGTGAGCACCACAGCTCTTTTATGCAGTTCGTCTGGATAAAAACAAACCCTTCTTGGCCCCTTTTGTGGTTACCATAGTATGGCTATAAGGGGAGGGCCCCATGTTCCCTATATGACTGAGTACACAGTCAAGTGCACAGAAAAAAAAAAAACATTATAACCTTGCGCTGGCTTTCTGAGTTTGCATTGTTTTTAGTCATCGATTAATGAACAGTGAACTGATCATCCAACTGCTGTTTAAAACATAGGAATGTCAGCATATTGCATGTTAACCTCTCCTCTGTAGGGAACCTTTGTGTTCAGTATTCTCAGCATGTAAGTGTGGGCTGACATTTCAACAGTCATGTGTTGACTGTAATAGAGAGCTGCAGTGATGACATGTTTTTGTAGGCGAAGTTAGCCTCAGCCTGCTTCTCCTTGACAAAAAACCCAGCAGAATCAGGGCTTGACAATTAGGACTGTCCGATGGCCCGGGGCCAGTGTGAAAGACCCGATCAGGCCACTGCTGCGTCGTCACGAAAGCTTATCATTTGCACACATTTTTAAGCCTTGTCAAATAAAACATTCAAGTGCAAGAAGACGCAAATGAACTCAATTCAGTACTCGCACTGTGTTCTGTGTGTACAGCGCGCACATAGAGAGCCATGTCTCAGACAATGCGCAAACACAAATTTTGCCGTCTTTCTTTTATGGACAAATACACCCTGCCAATTTGAACATTCGATAGATTTTAAAGCATTCAACCGCAAGAAGACGTGAATATTTACTCCATTCAGTGTGTTCTGTGTGCACAGTGTGCAAATATAGAGCCACGTCTCAGGCAATGCACGAGCCCCGAATTGCGTTTCTTTCCGCGTCTTCATGCATCACGCTCTCTGCATGATGTAGGTTGTGTAGAGAAAGGAAACACAGCTTTACACCGAGAAATGTCTAGGTGTTTGGTGTTAATCTTACTCTTCATATCACAGATTGTGTGATGATATCACTCTCAAAGTGCCATGCATGCCCTCCCTAATAATTTTGAAGCTTATGTGATTGTTTATACCTTCAAATCGTTTCCCATTGTTGCAGCTGGATCTGTGTGGCACATATAGCAGCATGAGGCTGATAATGATTTAGAGATAATACTTTCAGTCTGAGCCCTGAGTATTAAGCAATGACGTTATATAATCGAGTATTAGATAAGAAGGATTGAATTAGGAAGGCAGCCGGTCTACCAGCCCCTGT